TGAAGTCATTTTCTCGAAAAAAAATTTTTGCACAAAATAATAAGGGTTTTAGTGTCTCTGAATTTTTGTTGACACGAATGATCACTAATAACTAAGGTTGCTGAGGGAGGATAGTAGATTCGGGATGCAGTTTTCACGAGTAACTTTAACTCGGAATGTATATGAGCCTTTGTTCGATTCTCCGTGTCAGCATTTAGGAGTTGTTGCAGTGGTGGTAATCAAAAAGCGTCCGAGATGTAAAAGCATGCAAAGATGTCTATTATTTTAGTCACTACATCGTGACTAGCAGCTTGTTTTTGGACAGTTCTTTTCAGAACAGCTAGCTATTTTAACAGCATATATCTGCTGCTTCGCTTTTTGAATACATATCGCAGTTCATAATTCCTGATTTTACTCTAACAATCCTTTGTTCGCTTCTTCAACGTGCTCTGACAGTCGTATTGAGAGTTGTTATACCTCTCCTGCTCTCTCTTGGCCTTTGCTCTCCAGTTCTTCACATTGATTTGCGAGTGTTTTGTGGAAATTAGACAGCCTTACCTTTTCTCTATGTTGCCTTTCACTCAGATGACTTCTCTCGCCGTGTCATGTCTTCATAGTTTTGTTGTGCCATCTGTTGTAGCTATCCATTAATGATCATTGATTTTGGGTATTCTGTGTAGCACATTCACCGATTGCTTGGTTCTTGCTTTAATTTATACTGGGGTCAACGATTTTCGAGGTTATATTTCATGTAAATTTCTGTCTGGGTTATTTTACGTTGCAGAGCTTCTTGCAGTTGCACCAGGTATTTTTTTTTCATGTCTAGGTAGGCGTGTTTTGTATGAAGTACGTATCTAATGTTTTGTTGCGCTTCGTTGATTCCTCCAGCTGTCAAACGTATATTTTGTGTAGTAACCATAAAGTTATTAGCCCCCCAACAAAGAACCAGTACCAACAGTATGTAAGCCCAAATTTATGCAATCCATACTCATTCCTGGTTGACCTTCAGCTTTTAAAGGAGGGTAAGAAGCTCAACTACGTCTGTCCATCTACCAATAAAAAAAGATTGACAAACCACCAATAAGGCAACAAAAGTAAGCCAAAAAAAACGACTTCCAGATTAATTATATAACTCTCTGATAAAATAAAACATCATAACATAAGTATAACCATGTGTTAACATAACAATAAGAGATATACTTTCACCCCAATAAACCATCAGTGTTTCAAAAAAAAAACAAAGCCCATATGACACACTGATGTATATGCTGCTAAACACTTACAGTCACATTAATAGAAAAAAGAAATAAATTAGTGAAAAAAGATAAAAAAACAAAAAAAATAACGTCAGCCAAAAAATCTTTCAATAACAAGTTTTTAAAAATTTTTAAATAAACTAAATTGACAACAAACACTCCAGAAATATAAAAACAATATAAAACCAAAAAAAAAATATGAAATAATATAGTCTGAACATTTTAAATTTTAATTAAAACCAATTATAGAAACATAAAAAAATCAACTACTAATCCTTAAAGACATAATAGCCATAAAAAATAATAAAAACAAAAAAACCTACATACAATCCCGATTTGAAAAGCAACATTAACTTTTAAAAAAATGTAACACTCAAAAGAACATTTGAAAAAACCGTAACCAACTTACAACTCAAATCATTACTTTTTTTAGCACCATGAAAAATAACAAAAACATAATAAAATACTAGAAAAAAAAACACATCATTAAAAAAAATACTTAAAAACAACAACCAATTAAAAGAATTCATACTAGCAACAGCAGTAATATCCAAAGCTCATGAAGGAAAAAAATATGAAAATAACAAAAAAACATTCCAAATAAGAAAACAATAACAAAAATCACTACAAGTATTGATAATAATAGAAAGATATGGCAATTTCTGAAAAGTTAAATTTCGCAAAAAAAACCACTTTTTTACACTACGTAAAACTCTAAACAACCAAAAATGTAATGGAGCTGAACCAGACTTTAAAAGTAAAAAGAATTGTATTTTTCAACATCTAAATAATAAAAAGTAATAACCTCTTATCTGCTGAATTATATAATAAACAAAGCTGCAGTACCAACACATTCAGCCCCTAAAACAACAAAACGAAAGTACAAATAGCAAAAATTCTTCACGAAGTAAAACAATCAAAAACACAACAATTTATACAACTTAAAAACAAAATATTAAAAGTAATGAAAAAAAGCAAAATAAGTTTGCTACTCCAAAAAATAGCTCAGAAGACTAAAAAACATATTAATAAACAAAAATCTTTTAATGGGATATCAAAAATAATAACTTATACTAAGACTGCAAAATAAACTAAAAAACACAAAAAAACAAAAAAAAGAGAAAGAGTAAAACAAACAGCATTAATCTCGCTCCGCAAAACAAAAAAAAAGATAAAAAATCTAACAACATTGAACAAAAAACGATTATTAAAAAAATAAAATTATCTAAATAAAAAAATTTAGGAAGTAGACGATAAACAATTTAGGAAAAACTATTTATAAAAACTTATTTTTTAACTCCAAAACACTATAATTAAAAAAAATTAAACAAAAAAATATATAACAGCCAAACTAAATTTTCAAAATGACAAACTTCACAGGTAAACATAATAATTTTCAAACATTCAAAAAATAAAAAAAACCAAAAAAAAGACTTGAAAAAAAAAACATTCTTCTAAAACCAACAAAATCAAAAAACCAATTATAACCCAAAATAAATGTAAAGAACAAGTAAAAGCAAAAAAACACCGAAAAAATAGAAAAAAACTAAAAAAAGATCAAAAAAACCACTGTAAAATTAATGAATAAAATATTTCTTCTTTGATGCGCCCCTAGTAAACAACAAACCAACAAACAAAACAAAGAAACCAAAATCTGTAGACGCACAATAAGAGGTAATTTTGCAAACCCTGACTTAACTTAATAATAACACCCAACTTGCATGAACAACAACCTCTTATAAAAAGAATGACCAATCATGTGAACAAAAGAAATGACCGCGGTTTTGGAAGTGCTTTTATTAGCATACCTATTATTGTGCGTCTACAGATTTTGGTTTCTTTGTTCAACGAACATAAAATTTTGAACATAATATTTTGAAAAGTGATGTCAAGTTAGTACTCCCATAAATATTCAGTCCTACGCCCAAATAAAAAAATTGTCATAAAAAACATCAAACCTCAAAGGACTGTTGTGAAAGCTGTACTGTTTTCTCCCAAAAGCCTGAAACCCGAATCGAGAATGGATCGCCAATTGCTTAAAACTCGAAATCGAGAATGGATCGCCAATTTCTTTGCATACGAATCTAATCCATGGAACCAAAGTGAAAAGTCATGTCCATCCCTTCGTCACTGAAAATTAAAATCCGCATGAAGCATTCAGAGACAAAATGTATTACTATGCAAAATGTAGCTTGATAGCATGAAAGTCCATTATTTCTTGCAATTTTCTCAAACAAATTAAGATTTTAAAAAATCTTCAATTTGTTTTATCTAATAATAAACAGTCCTATCCACCACATTTTATTATTACATCTTGTTATCTTACTTAACATTTCAGATTCAGAACTTGCGCTTAGAATTTCAACGCTTAAGCATGTGACCTTTTCTCTCATAAAAGAAGAAATAATCAAAAAGTTAGAAAAAATTACTAAAGAGATTTGAACAATTTTCGAATTCGTATTAATTCATTCAAAATTTGTAATTTAAAATATATATCTACTGTGCATTTCAAGACTTACCATTCGAGCAGTCGACTTTTTTGCTTACTTCTTGTTAATTGCGCAGCATCGATCGATCTTGTTTTATGCAAATTGCCTGAAAATAATTTCGCGCAAGGAAAAAATTTCAAATGAACAAATAAAAAAATTCTTTACTTGTGCCTAGAACCCTTGTACCTAGATGGTTTTTTCCTAATAACACATGTAATCTACCCTAATAAATTAATTAAAAATCTCAATTCTTGAAAAAAAGAATGTTAATCTCACTACATAAAAATACTAATTTTTTGAAAATTTTCAATGTGACATGAAAAACAAAAAAAATTTCATTATCTATGATATCAATATTCCAACGAACCCTTAACCTATTATTAAGAATAATAATTAAACTAAGCTCTCACAGATAAAATTAAAACTTCGACTTACTGCAGGAGTGATTCAGAGGCACTGAAATGATTCTAGATACATTTAATCTGAAAAATATATTAATCTGTTCAATAATCATAAGCTAAAAGCTTTCTCGGAATATTAATAAAGAGAAAAAAGAATAAAAAAGTGAACAACAACTAATTAAAAAATTAGAAAAGTTAAAAAAACACAAACAGAGCTCAACATCAAACTCTAAACACCAATAATTACCATAAAACTACAAATGCAAAAATCAAATAACAGATAATTAAAACAAAAAATTGCATAAAAATACACAAAATTACTTTTACAATATACTTCTACAATATGTAAACTAAAATTATTTACAAAACTATGCATTATTCAATACAAAGACAACAAAAAGCATTAATATAACAATATTAGGCGAGAAAAATAAAAATTAATAAAAAAACTTCGTGCTGTCGTCGCTTCTTCCTTCACGTGAGTGCAGAAAATTGAGAACTTCTGGCATTCTTACCATCGTCTGCGACGCCTGCGAGTTCTGATGCTTGCTTG